TTCCAACGAAGTCTGTGGTTGACACTTCCAGCTGTGTGGATTAAAAGATAACAGAGTTATTTTCCACAATGAAGATGGCGTTCTAGGGTAACTCTTATTTACAGTAATCTTTATAAAACTGTATGTGGTTGGTTCAAATCCTGTGCTGTTCTGCATATGGCTTCAAAACACCCCACCAGTCTTCCAATGAAAAGACAGCCACAGTTAAAAAATTTACTTTATCTTCCCAACAAACATCTCTGCAATTTACTGTATGTCCCTCTACAAATGGCAATGATGTTTAACAGCTGAATCAACATTTGTCTTAAGGACAGATAAACACAGTTGCAATTAGTCTTGTCTTTGTTGCCAGTGGTAAGCAATTTCCCGGGATTATAATAATTAAATGATTTGATCCTGGATGACTATCAAGTAGCAGAGCATTAGTATAGTACCTTAACATTTGCTGTTAAATACCAATTTGGGTGTTTTAAAGCTGGCCATTCAGTCACTCAACCTCAAACGTCCATGCAGCAGCATACAGTTTCTTTTCTTGTTTCTTACTTACCCTAAAACTTGACTAAATCGTGTCCTTAAATATGCACTTACAGATGGAAAGACAACCTTTCAGTCGAGACTGCTAAGATTACTCATTTCCTGCTCTCCTCTCTACCTCCTTCACCTCATTTATTCCTACACAGAGGGATCCTCCATCGCCGACATCACATATTTATGCATTCAGCTCTTCCCTGCTCTGCAGTATTGCTAGTTCACCTAGGAGACCATGCCAGTTTAACAGAGTACGGTTAAAATATGCACAATATCAAGTCAGCAAACAACAGCTTTAATCCGGAGTGGGACAACCTTGTCCTGTGGTAGTAAGGATACCTGTCTAACACTTTGCAGTACAAGCCTTTGACCATGGGTAATATGTATGCTAACATCTGCAAATAAATAATTGTTATAGTGCCAAAATACTTAATATCAGGTGAAACTTGAAGCAAAATCTATAAGTAACAAGTTCATTCATTCATTTTTTTCTGCAATCTTTTAGATATCAAATGTGTTTCCAATACGTGACGGCAACATGAATGTCTGAGCCATGGGTTGCTAAAGGAAAAGTCAGGGAATCACCAAAGTCACCAGGATTCATCTTTTGGGGACCATGGATGTCTGTACAAACATTATGTATAGCAAATAGTTATTGAGATATTTCAGCCTGGACCAATGTGGCGGAGTAGTTCCTATAGAAAACTACAGCCCACAAGCAAAATAAGAAGCCATACCATGACATTACCATCCACCAGCAAGGCTAAACATTTAAGTAGATACTTAAGTCACTATGTATGTATACATTGATAAAATATGCCCTCTATATCTACTGTCTCTTGTTAGCTGCATTGTTGGAAGTTACATAAGAGTTGGATAAGAGTAGTGCTTTCCTTTAAGAACATATTTGCTACCTGTATTCATAAACACAAGTAGACCTTACACGATCTTCAGCTCACAATAAAACAGGAAAGCTTTTCGTTTAAGGTGCTCCATGTAGCCTTAATAAATGTACCACTGCCTAATTAATTGTGATGTCTTAGCGCGATTACCACAAAAAATGAAACCATAGTTGAGATGACTGTTTGGCTTTATCTATTTATTAAGAAATGTTTTCTCAGCGGTGGTCTGTTTGTTTACAGGAATTATACAAATGAATGTCTCAGAAAGAACGTGGTGCTGATTTTAAAGAACTATATCTAACACATTTGGGCACAATTAATAGATTCTACTGGCTGGGAAAATGAAATACCTGCAGTATGCATACAAACTGCACTTCAGAGTGCTAGTGACTGGAAACATAATAGTCTGTATATTGCCAGTGCTGATTGTCACAAGATTGGGTTCACTTTTGATATAATCTAGGTGTGTATGCTACTAGAAATCCTATCTGCAGATGAGGCTAAGCACCCTATGAAGTCAGTGATCTGTATCCTATAAAGATACCACATGTAATGTCATTACCTCCATTTCAATCTTAATCTGTGGCTAAAGATCACTTCACTTCCTTTATTAGCACTGGAGCAGAGCTGCAAAGATTCATCAGCGAAAGAGAGAGTGAGCGAGGGAGGTTCCTCCTTTATCTGTAGCATCACATTACCAGCTTTTCCTCTTCCTATTAGTAATGCATGACATCATGCAACCTCTCTATCACATGGGTCATCCCACTCCTCTCCCCTATCTCACTGCTCTGTCTTCCTCCGCCTTTGTCCTCCTATCTGTTGTCACCATGGAGCCTGGAGCATACAGTGTAATGGCAGTAATGGCACACATGCAGCTGAACTAAATGTTTAGGTGTTAGGAACCTAATAGTTTCATATATCATCTCATCCTCCTTTCTCTCTCTCTGCCTTAAAATATATACCATAGGAGGACCATTTCCCCTTCTCCATCCTGTAGCTGACCTGTCAACTAATGGTGACCCACACAAACAGGCTCAAACACATACTAAGAGATATATTTATATGACTGAAACATGCATACAAGGAACTGCAAGGCAAAAGAATGACTGTCCTATGCCGAGGAGCATACTGTGTACGCATGACTTCACTCACTCACACACACACACACAGACACCCACATTAGTAATACATGCACACAGTCAAGCTTTTCTTCGCAGCAAGTCTGAGCTGTAATGAGAACATTAGCTGTGAGGTGCCTTGCATCCGATCATTTGAATGGGGGACACAACAACACAGCAATAACCTGTTTGGCAGACGGAGGGAATACTATCAAACGCATATCGTCTCACAGCTAAGAAATGGTGTGATCTTTCAAACAAAGCCAGTCATGAACAGCTTTGATTTGCATGACTTTCTTTATACAGTATAACATATCTTCACCCTGATTCCATACTACATATATGGATATTAGCAACCTGCAGCTAAAAAAACTAAGTTGCACATGGTGGTGAGACAGCTTTAGGAGATTTCCAGAAATAATAATTTAACAGCACACTTAATTGGGGGAAAAAGCTTTTTGTTAAGATAAATAGAGCTAGAGAAATTCCTATTTCAATTAATGATATCCTCAATGCTCCTCAACTCCCGGATAATTTAACACTGCTATATTTTAGGTCATGAACAAAGTTCTTTTAACGATGCACCATAGTTACCAAGTGCATCTAAAATTGATGCATAATTAGAAAGTGAATTGATTGAAGCTTCAGATTGTAATATTCGTTTTCTAAAATGTGCAGTCTTTAGCTACTTCACAACTCTGTTGGCACTAGTTTCATAGTTTGATTGATGTGCATATTATGTGCATATGCTGAATCAGAGGAAGCAAAGTTATGTTTTGCCACTTTTTTCCTTCTAAATGTAACTTTATCATCATACAGTCCCCGCAATCAAGTGATTATATTAAAGCAGCCTATGTGAATGATCATTTTACTATTTACAGCAACAGACAAAAACAAGTAATTTAAAAAATCAAATTTTTGGACCACCCTTTGAGTTGGTTCAGTCGAACATGTCACTGATTGTTTGCCACAGCATCAAACCACACAGGAGTCTGACTGTGTACAAAGGCGAGAAACATACCATTTAGCCTAACTGTTATCATGGACTGAAAACAAAACATAGGAAAAGACAGGCTATATATTGAATAAACATGATTGGCCCACTGAGTCCAGCCAAACTTTAAATTGGCAAAAAGTAGGATTGCTGAAATGCTGATCCGATATCCAGTCAGATAGGATTTGGCTGTGGAGATGGGATGTTCGCGAAGGAGCCAAATCAAAGAGTCAGCTCTTTAAATTGTAACGTGGCTATTAATATTTTGCATTAACGCTGTTGATTTTATTATGGGATGTAGTGGAGGATAAACGCACATAAATGAAGTTTACCCACCTTTTTCAAATGCAACGGATTACTCACCTTTTGTGTGAGTTTATCGTTTCCTAACATTGGAGAGTTTAGCCAGCAGACACTCATAGTTCACCCACCTTTTATTTTACCACTATAACTCCTCTGTGATTTTGTCCAACTACTGCTGATATCTCATGCTGCCTTGTTCTCTCCCTCGACCGACACAACAGCAGACTAACAGAACAGTGTTTCCCAAACCTCTATTAGAGCATGTTTTCCATCCAACCCTGCTTCCCCACAACTGGCTCAAATAGGACTTTATGAAGCATGAAGTCACATTCTCACCTATGCACCCTTCCTCTCCTCTTAGAAACCTTTGCATAATCAAAGACTGCTGAGAATATATGCGTACGATTTTGTGACAGACATAAAAAGGATGAAAGAGAATGCATGTTTTTCAGTACTGAACTTAGTTCAGTCACTGTCTACTATCATGTGGGAAGAGGAATAAGATCTTGCGAGACCCAGTCAACCTATAGCGTATAGCATGTATAAGTTATACTGCACATACTGTACAGACCACCAGTCAAGTCTACTTCTGAGGAACTGCCAACTCCAAGAATTATAACCGTCAAAGTTAGTTAAGGGAGAAGTCCCAATTGAAGATGGCATTAGAAAACATGTTAAAAAAAAAAAAATTCCTTGTCTGGATGCACACTATGCTTTAAATCTAATTAATACAAAGTTATTGAATGCATCAATGTGCAAAGACAATTATCCATTACATTCTTAAAAAGCACCCAATCATGATGACACTGTGTGTGTGTAGATTAGTGGGAGAAGTTTAAATCAGACTCGAGGCATTGCATTCCTCACACGGCTCATCACTTGCCTGTTAGCAAAATGAGGAGGCTATTTTGTCTCTATCACGGATCATAGTGAAATATTTCTCAAGTTGAAAATTAGCATCTATGTGTGCAAGAAGGAGCAGTGATTTCATTTGGAGGGAAAATTGCTTATTAAAGGCGGGGAGAATTGGAGAGGATGGGCCCTGCCCGTGCCAGATCAGCGGCCGTCAGTCACAGGGGAGATGACAAACTCTGTGACCATTACCGCTGTGTTTATTGGCTGACCTGGCCCCACCTTCAGAGTGTAGATCTGAGACATCAAGCCACATTGTCTGTGAACATTACAG